CCAAAGAGTTGGTGAAGAGCTTCTCAGCAAAGTGAGTGAAAGAGGGATTTTATTCAAATCCCTAAAATTTCTGAACACTGAAAAAGTCCAGAGATTCAGTAATCTGTGTACCATAAACAAAAAAAAGCCTACAACCTGCATACAGATCTGCCTCAGACAAAGGGGGAGAGAGAAGAGGAAGTTGCATTCTAAATTGTACCATGATGTGCCCTGCTAAGGAGAAAACTGAGATTAAAAATATTGCTTAAACTGATCTGACCAAAAGGTGCACTATGCACTGGTGCTTAAAAAGCATGTTCTTCTCTAAATGGGTGATGGGAGTGCTGAAGCCATAGCCATCCTCGGAAAGAATGCAACAGTAATTTCTTTGATTCAGTTCCTCTAGACAACACACACACACACACACACACACACACACACACACACATACACACAAACACACACACACGCACATGAGGATCCTGGAAGTGCCTATCAAGGGACCTAGGTTGTGCCTCATGGAGGGTAGAAAACACTGGTGCAGGCTAGACTATACCCATGTGACTCCGGTGAGAATGGCAAAGGGGAAACTATGTGTCTGGAAGCTAATGTGACCAGCTGAAGTGTCAGAGAAAATGACCTAAGAAGGCAGAGAAAATGTGCCCCCAGGGATGGTGTTTTTTCTGGCTACTCACCCCTCAAAAAGACAGGTAAGAGGTGAGTAGCCAGAGAGCAGGAGATGGTGACGGCATGAAATTCTGTAGGCCCACACAGAAAAAAGAATGAAATAGGTCAGGATTTGTCTCAGAATAAAGGGATAGGTGAGGCCTAATGCCAGAGGACAGTTGAGGCAGAGGAAAGGTATAAAGATACAGAATGAGGCTTGGCTCATGTCAGGAAATATTTCTAAGAAATTTCAGAAGGTTGACCTTTCATATTCTAAAGAGATGCTTATGGTGACATTTGCATGGTAGCTAGTTCACTCCAAAGGCTGGATATAGGGAGAATGTAATAGTATGATATGTAGGGAAAACAACTCAGAATTGAGGGGATATTTCCAGAAACACAGAGGAGAGATCATTTTCTGTGACTACTGATGACATTGTGAGGAAAATCCTCCCACCTCTTTGGGAAAACCACCTTACATGTGAGAACACAGGTAGCATTTCAAGTGTTTTAACATTGTGTTCCCTGGAGTGTTGTAATGTAAAACTTACCCAATTTGACTGTTTTTTCTTTCACCTTGTCTAATCCTTTCCGTGGAAGTGCCTCTTTTATTGTGATGGGATCAGTGCGCTTAGAAAAAAGATAGTACATAAAGAGTGTATTTTTCACTGACTACAAAGTTAATAATTTAGAATAAATATAGAAATTTCATTACCTTTCTGAAATCATATGAATCCCTAGAGGCTGAAAAACAAAAGGGATATATAATCAATCAAAGTTGAAGAGGACAAAACAATTCATACATTACAGATGCCTCCACATACATCTGAGGTCCATGGTTCAGCTTTGCTAAAAATTATGCTATCTCCTGGGTTTCTGTGCTGGCTGGTTTGGCTGACAAAAATCATGTGACTAAAGGAATTTTGTGAATAGGTTTTGTGAAACATGCTGTTCATTTCACAAACCTGAGATTATTTGTCCAATGACCATAAATAAAACAGACAAGGAAACATATACCAATGCAAAGATACAGATTGATGGAGAATCCAACAATCCTCTAGTGGAGAAGCAAAGAAGGTCCCTAAGAGATTCAATAGCAAAGGTGAAGTCAAAACAAAAACAAGCCATAGAACCTATCTTACTGAAATACTATTGAAAAGATCTAATCTTTATAATTTTAAGTATGTATATATTTACTGCATTTGTCCTTTCATTTTTGCTTAGTAAGGCCAAAGCTGTGTTCAGATCCCAGGAAAATGTTAGGTTCATTTCTCAACAAAGATATCTGAAGGAGTCAATTGATATACATATTTTGACACTGAAAGCTATGACATCTAATATTTGTTTCTTATATTCAAGTGGGATGCTGGTTCCTCTTGTGCATCCTCTATTCCTGTATTCTCTGGTTTAAACAGATTAGATTTTCATGATCCCCTTGTGTGAGAATAGATAGTTTCTACATCTAAGAAATAAGGGTTAATTGGTTTAAACTTTTGAGACATAAAAATTTAAAGGGAAAGTTGAAATGGAAGAGCACAGCTTTATCTGATAACAATAATATATTATTACACACACAAACACAAGCATATATGACAAAGATTTTGGGTATTCAAAGAGTAAACTGTATAAAGAGTTCTGTTTGCAAATGAGTTTGGTTTGGTGTGACTTGCCAGTGTTTTAAGTGTATTCACAAAAGGCCAGACCTATCCAAAAATTATAATTAGCTTTTGAAGGATGAGGATATAGCTCAGTAATGAAGTGAATTTCTAGAAATGCCCATGATCAAAATTTTATTTTCAGGCAAATAGGAAAGAAATACAGAAAGTAATTATGTAAGAAAAAAGAGAGGGAGGTAAGGGAGTAGAAAGAAAAGAAGTAAGTAAGGAAGGAAGGAGGGAGGGAGGGAGGGAAGGAAGGAAGGAAGGAAGGAAGGAAGGAAGGAAGGAAGGAAGGAAGGAAGAGAAAGAGAAGAGCTGTCATAAAAAATCACTAATGATTCTGAAATGTAATTTTGTTCCTCAGAATGACTCAATTAAAACCACAGCAAGCAGTATGTCTGATAGGTATGGAGAAAAGATGGTCATGGCTGGAATCTTTTCCCAACTTACAAGCCCCTCATGATTCAAATGATAGACAAGTTACAGTCTCTCACATATTGTGAAAGATAGATATACTGATAGCCCCTGAATTGCATGCTCTCAGTTTCCCCTTCATTCCCTCCAAGATTACCCAGCTAACTTATTTTGTTTCTTGCACATTTCTCCTTCCCAGGAACTTTTCAAATGCAACATCTTGATCTCTGGTCTTGATTCTTTATATTTTCCATTTTGTATATAAATTATTCCCACTCTTTCTTTTTCTTTTCTTTTCTTTCTTTTTTTTAGTTGAGGATGGAAACAATGTCTTTATTTATTTATTTGTTTGTTTGTTTGTTTATTTGTTTATTTATTTATTTATGTGTTGCTGAGGATAAACCCAGTGCCTCAGGCATGCAAGGCAAGCACTCTAGCACTGAGCTACAACCCAAGTCCACCACTCTTTATTAATTCCCAATTTAAGGATTAGACCTAAAAAATATAAATTCTATACTTTGAGTTCTTATCACTTGCCAAGAGACAAGGTCAGAATAAAAACTAGATGTATGCAATAACTTTATTACATTTGTGGCTCTGCATTTAGTTTTGCTAAAAGGAAATCCTCTCCTGGCCTCTTTACACGGTGGCCGGCAGATAGAGATCATTGGAATCACCTTACATGAAAGAAAACATAGATGTGCAGGCCAGGTAAGTCAGAGTATACATTTTGAATAAGGATCGCCACAGATGATCTATTAGAGTCTGAGAGTCTCGGTCTGCACTTAGTCTGCTTCTTATTTCCCTGCTTTCAAATGCCTTACAATAATAGAGCCAGTTTTCCACCCAATGATGTTCCCAAACCTGAATGATGACAAGAAGTCCTTTCTCCTTTATTTACTCACTGTATTCTCTCTACTTTTCTCAGTATCTATTCTCCCTTCTCCTTTTCAAATTGTCCAAAGAATATTTTAAAAACCTATAAATTTAGATATCAGTCTATAACAATTTGCACATTTTTCCACTTCCCATACTTCTGTGTCTGCCATCTGTGCTTCATCCCAGGTAGTGGCAAGAATGTCTATGATATAGGTATTTTTATTTTTTATTTGTTTTAATTACAATATTGTTTTATATAAATTTATGACCAGACATATGGATTTATGAACATTTCACTTAAAAAGAAAAAAAAACTTCTTTTCTTCATGATCAGTTCTTCACATGTCAATTTCTTTTTAATGACAATTCAGAAATAAGTGGTGAGAAAAAATATTCACACCTTGAGTCATTTGCACAACTGGAAACTCCCAATTTCCTTCCACATTTTGAACAGGTGGTCTTTTTATTCTGGTACATGACTGAAATTTATCAGCCTTCATGTCTTCTTTTTCCTTCATTTACTCGCTGCACTCACTCCCTCTGCCTTTCCCAATGTGTATTCACCCTTATCCTCTCTACTTCACAATTTCCAACTCCCCTATGATCTATGCCTGTCTTGTATAGAAACTAAGAGGGACACTCCCACTATAACCTGCTGCTGGACCTTGGTCTTAAGAGAGACAACTCATTATCTTTCTCACTTTTTCATTATTACCTGTTTACTAGGTTCATTTTTCCAAGTATTAGAATAAATCAGCACTCATGTTAGAAATCAATATTCTGTCCAAAGAACTGTGTAGAGTATGTAGTTCTTACCATGGACATTTCCATCTGCTTTCTCTTTTTGCTATATAATGTTTCTCTACAGATGAGTGAGAAATGCACATCTGTGGACCACCCTCAGAAAATACCTGCAAAATAAAGAACCCCAATGAGCTACATGAAAACTTCACTATCACTCTTTTAGACATCACCCAAATTTTGGTCTTAAAAGCAGCTAACTAAAATGTAGATAAGTACAGCCATATTTTCCACAGGGCAACCTAGAATTTTTACTTCATATGAAGCTGAACTCTTGTCTTCCAATGGTTCCTGATTTGGTAAAAGCAGGATGGATATCATAGAAAAGGTATTCCCTGAAAATTTAATAACATAAATGCATGTATTCTAAGAGTGTAAACAACCATATATCACAACCCCACAAGATGAGAATGCATTAAATACTTAATTAAACATTCTTGAGAAATATAATTAATATTATGTTGCATTACATGTTTTAAATAACAGACTTATGAGACTCAGTGTGATAAGAGATTTGGAATTATGTGATGTTGAGCAGGAATAAGACTTTATTGGACTTGCCCCATTTTGGTCATCACAGTCTCACAGGATCTAAAGAGCTTATAGTAAGTGTTTCACTTAGAGAAAATCCAGTTTAATAAAATGACAAAGTAGGGTGAAGAAATGTTTCTATAGTACTGTTAGAAAGCAACACACAGGATCTGGGTAGAGTAAACAACATGTTCCTCTGAGAGAGAACTAAAAAGTACACCAATGAAGAAAAATGACAGCACAAAAATGTACAGCACTTCCTATTTTTCAGAGCTTGAGTCATATTGGCTCCTGTGTGCATTCTAGATAAAAAAAAGAGCAGCTATGGAAAAAAGAAAACCTGGAGAGGCACTGTAGAGAGCCTCAGACCAAATGAAACCCAGAATTTTGGCTTTTAGAATAGTAAATGAATTCAAGGATTTCACCAGCCATCCATGGGCTGGGTATGTGATCTATGCACATTTGAGTGTATGAGAAAAACTGGTCTGAAATTACTGACTGATTAGGATCTGCATGTATGTGTGTCTTTTCACTCACTCTGCCTGTGATACCCACAGAGCACCTGAGATGGGTGTGATTTTCTATGTTTATATGTAACTAAAACTGAGCCACTGGGAAGGACCATCTTTTACCATAAATGTACTCAATGACCATCACCACTATATATGTTCATTAATTAAAATGGTTATTAGCAAAACCACTGATTTTAACTTCTTCATCATTTTCAGGGGTAAAAAAACAGAAACCCAAATAATATTCAGAAAAATAATCTGCCCGAATCACAAGGATAATATTTATCTATATGTTATCCTGAATTTTAATGGTATTTTCAGATTCATAACCAGTTAAATTCTATTAGGTTTCAATATTAAATTATCATTTTTAGATTCCAAACCACTGTTATGAAAGGTAAACAAATTTGCCTATATTGACTTTCTTAAAACAAGGAATACAGTAAGAAATCAGAAGTTTTAAAAAATATATCTGAGTGAACACACCTGTGGCTGCTTAATTTTGGTGTCATCAAGACCTTCCTCCTCTTCTTCAGATGATGAGAACCAAAGTGGTTCAGCTTAAAAATGTATGTAGATTTACGTAAACAACTTAGAACATTTAGAGAGAATGATAGTCTGCCAAAAATAAAAAGTAATAATAAGATTGAATTTTAAGTGCTATTACCTCTTTAACTGTTTATTGGTGGGGTATACTTGTGTGTACTCAGTGATTTAAACCTAGAACATTGCAACATTGGCAAGAGCTCTGCCAGAGTTGTATATTTGTTTATTTTTGAAAACTGGGTCTCTCTAAAGTGTTTGTTTCGGCCTGAGACTGCCATTCTCTTGTCTCAGTCTCCCAATAGCTGTGTTTAGAGGTGATCCACTGTACCCAACAGAAAATTTTTTTTCAGGGAATGTTTCTAGTGGTATAAAACTTCAATAGTCTACCTGAGGAGACACTATGTATCACCAGGTTTAAGAAACCAGAATATCTCAAAGGTATACAAGATGAATGAAAATTTGCCAGAATTAAATTTTAAAAACACTATAGAAATGTGGGATACACACAATTTGGTATTCTCTTCCCCATAACAGTAACTTTTAAAAACAACTATTCATCAATAGTCATTTACACAGTGACTTAGACTCTACTGTTATCAATGAACATCTTGCATATGCAATATTTTTCTACATTACTCTAAACAAATGTGTTCTTCTGTAAGACTTAGTCTGTTCAGTCCTGCATGATTATCAATCTCCTTGTCACAAACTGCTTTTTACCCCTCTTGAGGTGTCTCAGCATTTCAGCGACTGTTCAACTGGATTCCTACCAGTTGACTTGTAAATTACTCCTTCCCCTGTCTAGCCCTTTGGCTCCTGAACTTGAGAAGCCCTCTTTTAGATCACCTTAGCATCAACAGTTTATTTGAACTGAGAATTATTTTGTTCCCTATGAGAATAGAGTAAAAAGATGCCAGGAATAATGGCTTTCCTAGAGCTAGGATTCAGCAGAGACTAAAGGAATGAGGTTACCAGTAAGAGGCAGAAAATGGGGAAAGCTTAAAAGGCTGTAGCTAGACACAGA